AAACCTTCAAAATGGTCACGTCAAGCTCAGTGCAAGATTTTAACTACAACTGCATTACAGTAGTGAATCTTTAAAAATTTAAATAAGATTTTTTGTCACAGATCAATAGTAATATAATTCTAACCTGCAAGATGTAACTATTGATTATTACTACTATGATTTTAACAAAAAAAATGTATGCTATAGCGACAGATGAATCTAAATATTAGAAGCAATCAATCTAAATAGCTCTTTTGCATTTTTTTATTATTTCTTTTACAGCAAAAATGCACTCAATATGTCAGAAGGAAATTTAGATTTTTTAAGGATTTGTATCTAATTTTAACTAAATTAGGAATGTGCAAGACTTTACCCTAACCTAATCAGTGAAACTAACCATTCCAATACAGTCTTTTGATATTTTTTACATGCACTTGCGGGATTTATCTTTATATAAAGTGCATTCAAGGGATCAAGATACTAATATTTATTATTGGAAGGGGGATTAGCATGATGCTAGGTGTTAAGAGAAAATGTAAAGATATGTGTTTATTATGGCATGTAATTGACTAGGACAGAGGCTCCCAGACTGTGTCCTGCTGCAACCTGAAGTGTTAAAAAATTAATGGACTTAATAAAAGCCAATTATAATTAAGTTGGTATTTTTCACTAGTTCTCCAACTTACTTGGTACTCTGTACTTATTAAAGTAGCAGTTGGTTTTGTGCAGCGTCTATGCTGTATCAATTAAATATTGTTTTGATAGAGTCAAGTAAAGTTAATGAGGTATGTCTTCTTGTATAATTGTATAAGTATAAGGTTTCAAAAATGGATTAGATTGTTTAAAAAGTGCTATTTTACAGTGCACAAAGAATGTGGCTTAGAGCAAAATTGAAAAGATGTGGGTGCAGCAATGGTGCTGTGACTCCAAAACGCTTGGGAAACTCTGGACTAGGATATATGAAATTCATGCACTAGCACCATTGCTGGTATGAGAGCTGGTCACCCGAAAGCTTTTTCGTTAACCCTCTAACTCTAGGGACGTAACCTTCTTGATCTCTCGGTGACTAGCAGTGAATCTGACACTGACGAAAACAATCAGGAAAATAATGAAGACAATCAAAATGATTATGTTTACGATAATGTTGTGAATCCTTGGATTAGGGGTTCTGAATTGGATAGAGATGACCCCTATGAATTTTTAGAAAAAATAGAGCCTTTAAATATGCCTCATGGGATAAGCACCCCATTTGAGTAATTATGCTAATTTTTACACAATATATCATTAAAATATTTGTGAGAGAGAATAATAATAATAACTAATAAGTATGCAGACAACTTTCTCAGTAACACCCAGCTCAAATAAACCATATTTGGATGCACAATGGTGAAAAGGACCGCTCTGTCTAAAGCAACCGAAAAGTACCCCGAGGGCAGGAAAAGGAGTAGAACTCTGTGCCAGGGGTGTCTCAAGGGCCTCCATGGGCCTTATTTCCCAAAACACATGTGTTAGGATCCATTCATTCTTCATCCATCAAAAAATTCACATAATTTAATAATTTACACTGGTAAGTCATGTTTATTCTCAGTCGAAATCGACGAGTCTGTTTACATGAAGGAAAAATCATGTCCGGCGAGTTTTGCCACAACAATGACAATGGGTCTTTGGATGCATTTGTCATAAAATTTAACTTTCCTTTGAATCTTTGTTAATTATTCACACGAAATCTTGTTCCAACCGGTTATTAAAATATTCCTTCGCCGCCACCACTTCCGACACTTCATCCAATAAAATTAACAATATCAACAAAGGGGAATGACTCCTGCCTTTCTTTGCACAAATTTTAAATAAATATGCAAATGACGTCATGGGTAATAATAACAATATTAGCCTAATTGGCGAGGTGAATTAAAATTGAAGTACCCACTTCTGATACCGGGTCCGAATAGCCGCAGCCAAACGTTTCATTACAATTACAGATAAGACAGTAGCCGATTTGCCGCCAAAAAAAAAAAGCAACTTTGATCTTGAATCTTGAGTGATGTCATGTTAATGATTACAGAACTATATTTAAAATAGAATTTAAAAATACAATAAAATTATGAACATAAACGTATTCTTACTTGCTTTTAGATGTACTTCAGATTGTTCGTGTTTCTTCAATGTACATGAAATTTCTTCAAAATATGGCACATTTCTCGATTGATAATAATGGCTCTAAGATGGCAAACCAACAGGAAGTATCCGTCATAACCGTCACGTGACCAACGGAATATTTAAATACTTCACGTGACCAGCTGGGTCCAAATAGCCATTTGCTGGTATAAGTACCCGGGTACCTATAGCCACTCTGTATTAGAAATGTCAATGTTTTACGAATGTGACACGTCACTACTTAGACTTATGCCAGAAATGTTTAAAACTAAAAAATAATCCATAAGCAAAATTATTTTTTTTAATGATCAATTTTATATCACCCCCACCCCCCCCCCCCCCCCCCCCTGCCAATACCTCTTTGCGCACATTCGCACATGCTTACGTGACAAATGAAACAACACTACTAACTATGTGACCGACTCCATCCAGTGCCAGAAACTCGTTCAAATCAAACAAAATTAGATACCGGTAGGCCTATTTATTTATCAATCAAATTGTTTACAGTTGCCAACAACTAGATGATATGAGATATCAGTGGGAGGAGAGGGGACAAAATGCTTCTGTAGTATGATAATCCAACAATCAGAGGCGTTTCAGCAGGGCCGGCCTTAGGCCACTGCAACCTATGCGGCCGCAGTGGGCCCCGCACTTTATTTTCTAATACAAACTCTTAATTTTCACTTATTATCCTTATCCCTACCCAGACTGGGCCCCGCGCAATCCGTTTGGCATAGGGCCACGCAATTGTTAGAGCCGGCCCTGCGTTTCAGTGCGGGGTATCGGAGGGAGGAGAGGGGACAAAATGCCACAGTAGTACGATAATCCAACAAGCAGTGGCGCTATAGTGCGGGGGATCCCGTGCGGCACTCTTCCCTACTTAGAGGGGCAGCATTTTTCAGCAACCTGCAGAGGTTTTATCGTGGAAGGGGCGGCAAAAATCTTGGCCCGCCTCAGGTGGCACTAGCCCTAGCCACGCCACTGCCTACAACTACAAGATAAACAATTAACAAATCCCGACGCGCCGCAATAGGTCAAAAGTGAAGAAAGACATGATAGAAATTGTTTGTTTTAAGATAAGATATAAGATTCTTTTATTGATCCAAACAAATTGAAATGTTTATTGATTGCATTGTTCATATACATCTTTAGCACATAAATAAATCGATATTTTAATAAAGTCTAAATTTTTCAACAAAAACGATTAGAACAAAAAGACATCTACATTAAATTACTACACTAAAGGAAAAAAAAAACAAAAAAAACCAGCCATTCAGTGAACTCCCTTAGTCATTCAGGGACTTATTAGTACTCATTAAGATTTGTGACTTCTTGGGGAGCACGCTGGTGAATTCGTACCGATTGGGGAACAAACGAATTTTTATATCTTTCAGTCGTCGCCGTGAGAGAAACAATTCGTCCCGAACGGGCCGATCCTAAGTATCTGTGATGAAGAGGGTGCGGGTGGGATGTATCATATGCCTTTAAGGGGCCGTCCATAAAGTACGTCACGCTCCAGAGGGGGGAGGGGGTGTAAGAAAGTGTGACAGTTTGTGACGGGAGGAGGGAGGGTCAGGCCATGTGTGACGTCACACATTTATCTTTTAAAATGTTATTCTAATTTATTTATTTACTTTTTAGTAGAATTTAATAGCTTTAAAAATAATTTTCAAAAATTTTGTGAAACATTTGAATTAGTTTTATGTCAAAATAGCATGAAATGCCTATCTCCTGAATGTGTTGTTCACGATTCCTCTCGCTAGGAGCGCTAGTATGTTGTTGCAATAGGCCGAAAAAGCCGCCTTTAAATAGCCTCTAAGTTAAAAAAGTTTCCCCTGCCCCCCTTTTCCTAAGGTTGGGGACCTTTGTTCCACCTTTTGAATTAGGCTATTACTTTTGTGTGCGTGCGTGTGTGTGAAGTCCCTATTTCAAAACGCTCTTTGCTATAGTGAAAATTACTAAAACCACCTCTGCCAGAGGTGTCGAGCCTGATCAGCGTGTTGCAACGGGAACACAGAGCCCTTTCTTTTGGCACGCGAGCCAAGTCACCCACGACCTACGAGAACCCTAGTGGGTCATGAGTCACCTCAGGATCTAAACTTAAACCTCAGTGATCAGATTTAATCAGTAGCGTAGTTAGGGTAAGTGTCGCCTGGGGGAAAGGGGGCGAATCTTCCAAGAAAATAAACTTCGGTTTTCGAAAATATCACGAGACGGTTGTGTCGTCACTTACAGTTAGAGATTAAATTTTTGTTTGTTTGTTGTTGTTTTTTTTTTATTTGAATTTGGGCATTGGTCTCTAAACGTTTCACCATAACTGCATTATAATACTTTCAACCACTGCACTCAGAGTCCACTGCAACTTTCAAAAACACATTTCTACATTAAGTAAATATATAATGATATCGATTTTTTAAACATCACTAGGCAGTATTTAACTGCAGTCGATGTAGGCCTGTGGTTTAAAAACTATTGGCACCAAACATACTAAATATCATAGGCCTAACCATAACTGCCATGTCCTAGCCCTGTGCATTGTGCCTGTGATCGAAAATAATAATAATCTTGTATGAAATGTATATTCCTTTATATTTGTATTTGATTCTAGTTTATTATGTTTACTGAAATAAGAATAATTAATTTTTTTTTTAAATTTCTTCGCTGTTTTTGGAATGTTTGTTTTAAAAATTCAAAGAGTTCAATAAACATGATTTCAGAATATTGAGGTAATTGAAAATTAAGAAACTATGCTTTTTTACTGGTTTCGAAACCACGGCTGAAAAAAAACATCAGTTTGACCACTTTGGGATAACTCTTATTACTCATTTGTTAACATCCGGTTGTCTTAATTTCTTTGACGAGTAATTGGGAAAAGAATGTGAATTGTTGACTGTTTTGAAAAGTACCATGAAAAACAAGTTGTTTACTAATACTGGCAAGATTTAAAATTATAACATTCAGGATTTTATTGAAATATGGCAGAAGCTAGAGATGATGAACCCAGCCTTCCTCCAAGGGGAAAAGTGCAAGAAGGTTGTTGATTTTATTTTATTTTATCTAATTTCTAACTTCTAATCAATCTATTCTTAATAAGAAATTCTTACAACTTACTAAATCTTAGTATTATTAGCTATTACTATTAATTTTGATAATCTGCCATTTTTTTGTCGGTTATAAAAAAATCATGTTCTAGTTTGAATTGCGGTAAAAAATGGGGACGACTGCCACTATTTTATAGAATTTCACGAATGAATCGATCCCTATGCCTAACCTGAACCCTAAATCGATCCCTATGCCTAACCTGAACCCTAAATCGATCCCTATGCCTAACCTGAACCCTAAATCGATCCCTCAACCTAACTTAAACCCTAATTCACTGCAACATAAACACACAAAATCACAAAAGATGCCGTGGCAGCTGTCCTCGGATTTAGCGTGAATTGCTATTTATGCGGTTGTTTCATTGATAAGATAATGCCAATAATGCTTTTTATGACATTGTCATTGTACATATTCATTGTATTTGTATTCAAACAATCAATTCAACATATATTTAATATATAAATTAAAAGACACCATCTTTAAAATAGAAAAATGTAAAAAATGTAATAATTTTTTTATTAGAAAAATTTCAACAATTTAATTTATGGAAAGAACACAGAGTTTGAGTTTATGTGTGTAAATGTTTTGTTGTTCATTGTGTTATGTGCTGCAGTGAGAATGTTTCTTACAAATGTTTGATGACATTATTATTTAAGAAAAAAAAAGTTATGGGCAGAATAAGGGAGAAATTTGGAAAAACAGTCACAAGTTTCTGCAGACAAAGATAAATAAGGGACTTTAAAATGAACACACACAAAAAAAATCATAACTCCACTTCTGTAAAAAGGAAATGAATTTTAATGTAAAGCTTATATATCCTTGAACATTTTTAAATGGCATATCTTTTTATGGCAATCAGACAATATTAAAAAAGTTTTAAAATGTGTCAAAGTACCTAGATTTAGGTTAGAATTCCTAGTTATACGAAGCACATAGGGGCCTATAGCTGCCTATAAGCTATCAAAAGTCAAAATAATGATTCACTGAATGTGGAGCTGATTTTCAATTATTTTCAAAGTTGGTGTGAGCCTGTAAGGTTTACAATGACTACAATTCCAACACTGCAATCACATTGTATTGTATACATTTGTCTACAATGACTATGCCCTAAAAATGTCCTAAAAGATACTAATTGCAATTGATACTAAGTTAGGAATGTATACTGAATCGACAATCAGACACTTGACTGACTAAGTATGATATCAAAACATATTTTGAAATGATTTCCCCATGCATCAATCATCTCCATCCATTGAATATATACAACAATAAATAATTTATAACAGACTATTTGGGCGATCCATGAATGACATCCCGCTAATGTGGCATATTGTTTACCCCCTCTCTCCTCCCCCATCATTACAATTTGTCACATAATTCAAACAACATCATAATACATTATTACGAGTTGGTGAGCCAACCCCCAAGGCTAGGTTTAGAAATAACGGTTTATATAATGAATTCACGAACTTAGGTTCAGTTGTTGTTTTCTTTTTAACTCTCTTATGTTTTTTATCATTCTATCTAGTGCGTAAACAGTGGTCAGTGCATGAAGACGGTGCTCTAGCTTATCAGATACAAAATGAAGAAAGTAAGTTAATAAGCCCTTTCATCAACATTACAGATACAAATGTATTTACATTCAAATAACAGATAACCCATATTTCTTAACCACATATACTTCTAGTGTATGATTTACCATTTCCATGGAGACTCATTTGCCATTTGAGCAAAGTTGATTGCAATTTTTTTTTTTTTTCATAACAACTCTTAATCTTTCTTTAGTTGACCAGCACTACGGCCTCAACCGTTTCAATCGAAGGATGGTGCGTGAAGACATTCCGGTGGCAAAGATTGTTCAGAGTGAAGAAGAAATACGACTGCAACAAGAGAGGCTAAGAGAGTTGGCTAAACTCAAAATTCAGTAAGTAAAAGTGTATCTATTTGCATTTATGCTTCTCAGATTATCTTTTTGAACGGTGATAAGGAAGTAATATTTAACAGAACATCTAATTATATTGTAATTCTTTGATGTCAGTCATTTTTTCTAAGAAAAAATATTCCAGTGAAAAAATGGAAGTCCAAATAAGACTTAAATATAACTCTCACGACTTTTTTTGTGCAAGTTTAGAAGACAGTCACAAGATCAAACTTTGGCGTGATTCTTGAAGTTTACGTTGCTAATTTTAAAAAAAACAACTGTTGTTTATGTATTTTTTAACAGGGCAGAAGAGGATGAGAAGGTGGCTAAAAAAATTTCTGAGCAACTCAAGCTGGAAGCTGTAAGAAAAGAGGTTGATGTTGAGCTTGATGATGAGGTAGATAATTGTTTTTTCAAGTAATTTTTTTATCATTTAACCATATCATTGTTTTAGTCTGCAAACCGCCATAAATTAAAAAAAAAAAAGTTAAATATAATTTGAACCATTTGCTCAGCTGGTGTGAGAAACACATTGAACTATATTTTTTTTAAACATTCTAATCAGGAACTGGCTCGCCTGCTGCAGGAAAAGGAAAAGAAACGTTATGAGAGGCATTTGGAGAAAAAGAGGGTGAAAAAACTCAAGCAAGAAAGAGAACTGCTGGAGGCCCAGTTAGCCAAGGACACGGAAGAGGCAAGACTGGTTCTGAACTCAGGTACTAGGTTTACCTTTCACACTTTGATACCTGGCAGGTAATCTTAAAACCTGTAGATTGCTTTAGTTAAGTCGTCTTCAATTTGTCTATGTTGTATTTAGTGTACATTCAGGAGTAACCAGTCTAAGGTATCCGCTTTAATGTTTTGTAAAATAGCAGGACTGGGGAGTTTTTAAAAAAAAATTATTTCTCGGTTGTTGTTTTGGCTATTTTTTTTAATGATAATGGAATTCAAATTTTCAAAGCTTTTTTTGCGGAGAAAATTACAAAATGTTGCCCAAAAAATCACAATCGTTCTACAGAAAAAGTTTATGTGAATCTCTGGTTTTCTTAGATTTTACACATTCTGAAACAAATACTGACAATTTTAATGTCATACAAGCTCACCTTGCAAAAAACAAGTTTAATTTTATCATCTCCAGTTCGCCCAGATGCTGGAGGCGATCACAGGTCAGACAGCATTGAAAACCTAAGTTTACAGGGAGTCAACGCCACGAGGTACAGGTCAAGGTATTGTAGTGTGTAGTTGTGCTAACCACTCTGTGCACATGCACTAATGTGTGTTAACATTTGCTAACACTGAAGTGTGTTCATGTATTAATCTCTTAACTGCACAGCAGGAATAACATGTCTGTATGAAAACAAAAGTTTAAAGAAAAATGTATCAATATAAGCTAACGGTTGCTTTGTTTGCTGTAAGCCAGTAGTCCATAACACTCTTAACTAACTTATGAATTTGACTAATTTTGTGTCTGTTAAGTTGCTCAGATTTTACAGTACATGTATATATAATTTCTAACATTTTGCGTTTACCATCTTTAAAATATTACCACCTCAATAAACTTTCCTATTAAGTCAACATTGGTATCTTTATCTATGTTAGTACATATTTTTCCATTAGTACTTTGGAGTCAGGTTGAGTAAATGCATCATCTAATCTAACCCTTTAGTACTCAGGAATCAGACTGAGTAAATGCATCATCTAATCTAACCCTTTAGTACTCGGGAATCAGACTGAGTGATTGTGTCATCTAATCTAACCCTTTAGTGCTCAGGAATCAGACTGAGCGAAGACTGGTCCAGTCAGTGCATCTGATACTAATAATATTTGTTACAGTTGTATTATTTATAAAATTCCACTAAATAATTTATAAGTCATAGCCATGCATAACATTTCTAATGTAGTTTTAAATATACTAATTATAACAGAAATTGCCTGCAATAAAGCTTTTATGTCATCTATACTAACTATAGTTTACAAAACTATAAGAAGATCTGGCAAGATTAGGTTAGATATTAATGAAATAATTTTCACTGCAATTCTGCATTTCACTCTAAAGAATGATGATTTAAAAAAAAAAAAAAAAGACATTGTTTTAACAGAAAGAGATCTCTGCATAACATCAAGTGTGTAACTTGTTATTTATTAGTCTGCACTGAACACACACCCCCCCCCCTCCTCCCCTATTTTACGATTACATGGATTTGTTTTAACATGACCAGGGTGACACCAGCCGGGCGGATAGAGGATGACGGTGACTTCCGTGACTTCTACAACTTACCCCCAGAGATGGATGAGTTCACCAGGCGGGAGATCCAGGCCAGGCAGGATGAGGTGAGCACTTGGCTCCCATCTGTGAAAAAAAAAAAAAAAAAGACATTGTTTTAACATAAAGAGATCTCTGCATAACATCAAGTGTTTAACTTGTTATTTATTAGTCTGCACTGAACCCACACCCCCCCCCCTCCTCCCCTATTTTACGATTACATGGATTTGTTTTAACATGACCAGGGTGACACCAGCCGGGCGGATAGAGGATGACGGTGACTTCAGTGACTTCTACAACTTACCCCCAGAGATGGATGAGTTCACCAGGCTGGAGATCCAGGCCAGTCAGGATGAGGTGAGCACTTGGCTCCCATCTGTGGCTGAGGGGTTGTTTGAACAACCCGTCTCACCACATCTTGTGATACACTTTGCATTTTATTAAAACATGCCTACAGCAGCTCACATCATCGGTAAAACATTATCAGTACCTCTCCTTATTTCATGCCGTGAAAGCATGCTTGTTGCAGCACGGATTTTTCTCCCAGAAAGCAGCAGCCTATGTCACTGAAGTGACTCAGATGACCAGCTGCCCCCAGGATGTGTTTGAAATCACATCAAGTGTGGCCTTACTTGTAGAAGTTGCAATGAGACTTTTACCATCCTGAGATTTCAGCAGAAACATTTTGTTTTGTGTTGCTTCATTCCGTTTGTATGAACTAACTTGGTCCCTTTTTTTACTGTGAACTCTCTTTTTATTACGTCCTGGTACTATTCTGCAGATGGTCATAATTTGACATTGATTTAAGTAAATTTTAATAATCATAATTAATAATTGAGGGGGGGGCGACAAAGATGATGAACAGGTTACTTGTTTTTTTTTAAATCTTCAGGAATTGGCTCGTTTGTTGCAAGAGCAAGAACACAAGGTAATGTCATGTATTGTGCTTCCTGGTGGCTGTGCATCACAGGGTTGGGTTGGGACACACACACACAAACAATCATAGTTCTATTTTAATGCATAGATCAGGGATTCTTAATCCATGGACCCAGTTGGGTCTGGGGTCTGTGAAAATGTGTCACATCTGTCTTGAAAAAATGTCCCTGAAACATGAAAGCTGAAAACTTCTGGTGTAGACAGATTCACATCCAGTTACTTCCTTGTGATACTTGCACTAGTGCACAGTTGTCATTGGTTAATCCATACTCTTTAAACATTTGCTTTTGAACGACCATGTAATTTGTATAATGCTCGAGGATTATTAGTTAATTTATTCAAACTGCTGTATTTGTACTTCTTTAAAAAATGAGGCAGTCTCTTTTTTTAGTCTAATTTTCCATTACAACTTTTGAAATTTTAAAAATAAAGGTCAAGTTATGAGAGTTCTAATGCCGTTTTAGCTCTGGCGTGAATTTTCTTATTTCTTACAAATTGTGATTCTCAGAGGACAAAGGCAGAAGTTGACCAGGATAAGCTTCGAAAGATAGAACAACAGGACGAACAGCTGGCCAGGGTTATGCAAGAACAGGAGAAGTTACGACTTAAGAAGGCTAAACTGAAGCACCAGCAAAAGAAAGAAGCACAGGTTCATTTGATTTCATTACATCTTTTTAAGATCCCACATTTTCCCATTGTATAATGAAAATGTTTGTCTTTGTTATCCAATTGAAACATTTTAGTCACCTTTATTGAAAGAAAGTTTCCAATTACTATATAGCACATTCACCCTTTGTTATGTGTCGACTAGTTCTTTTAGGCAAGGGCCTTGGACCACCTAGGCAGTCTATCAGCTGACCCTGCAGAGTCAGGCTTCACTGTGCGGTTCTTTCCTTTGGAATACGGACCACCTCAGCAGACTATCAGCTGACCCTGCAGAGTCAGGCTTCACTGTGCAGTTCTTTCCCTTGGACCACCAGTTTAAATCAGCTGGCTTTTATTTAAAGTTGTTATATATATTTATTTATCCCCCTTTCAATATTTTTTTTTAGCTAGGATTCCATTATTTATGTGAATGAAAGTGATGTGTGATTTTTGGTAATGATATACTGCTACAAAGTAAATCAATGTGAAATTGCTATTTTGTTTGTCATACACAGAGGAAACAATCAGCTGAGTCTCTTCCACTTGGAGCCTCTGCAAATACTTTCAATCAACAAACACTGCAAGAGTCTGGTCCCTTGGGCGCCACATCGGCACAGCCCATTCAAGCCACAAGCGGTGGACAGACCCGGTATCGACGGAACAGCTACACCCAGGCCTTTGACTCGCCGCCCTCCCCTCCACGCTCGCAGCCGCCTGCCAGGACCACTGCCGGTAAGACAAATCAGGTGCCATCCCATCAGAGCAGCAAGGCCACCTCTGTGCAAAGCACAACCTCGACCCAAGGGTCATCACAAAGCCAGCAGTACACCAAGGCTCAGCTGCACATGGCACCACCCCTTGTCTCACCCATGTCTAGTCCCAGGTCAGCCTACGTAGGACCAGGAGGAGGCATGTCTACATTAGAGTCTGCCAGGAGGATAGCAGCCGGGGATCACGAAGGAATTTTGGCTCTTCAGAACTCTGCCCAGCAACAAAACACCACCAATACTCAGCGTGCAACCATCTTGCAAGAAAGGGCGCCAGTCTCACGAGATGGCTCCGCCAACACGATGGACATCATCCGAGCCCACAGCCACCAAGGAAACCTCACCCGGCCAGGTGGGGCCGCTGCCGATTCTCGACAGCAACAAACACGCCTCACACAGAACTACCCCGTAGGTTACAGCCAGAGCGTTCCGCTCGGAGCTGAGCTGAGAGACTCTGACAGCACGGAAGTATTGAAGTGGCTCAGCTCCCAGGAAGGTGGGGGTGCCAAAGTTCAGGCTTACCAGCATCAGCAGAGGAAGTCAGGTTCAGGGAGTTATTACAGCGAAGAAGAGGAAGAGTAAGCAATCATTTTTTTATTTAAGGCCAAGGCAATTTAGCCAGTCACTAACAAAGTGGTTCCTAACATTTGTATAAAGTTGAATATTTTCAGAATTCAATAAAAAATAATAAATCAAACTTTAATACCTTTTATTTGAGACTTACACAGTACATATGATAAGAACCACTGATGGCACTTGATACCAATTCTAAGAACTGTCACACTGACTATTTAGGCTATGATATAAGAAGGTTACCGGAAATTTGTTTGAAAGAAATTTCGTCAACGGAAAATTGATCGATGGAAATTTGGTCGAAACTTTTTACACTTCACACATTAAAATTTTAGTCAAATTTCTTTTTGAGCGCACTATATTATTTTGTTTTATTATATAGTATAGTGAGTTCAAAAAGAAATTTGACGAAAATTTTAAGGTGTGAACTGAAAAAAAGATACAACCAAATTTCAGTTCGATCAAAATTGTGTCAATGAATATTCCGTCTATGAAGTTTCTTTCAAAAAAAATTCCGGATACGATATAGGAATATTACCTACTTTCATTAAATTAAAAAAAAGAATATGTCTAGTAAAAATTTTAATCAAATTGGCACTTCCAGATCAATGGAATTTCCTATTATTAGTTTAAGAGATTTGATAGGCTATATAATTTTTAAAACAATTCTAACTTCTGATGACTTATTTTGTTCACGAAATTAGTACCTAAATCTGGATACAGACATTATAATTTAAATAGGAAAATTATTTTTAAATTCTAACCCGTTTTCTTCTTTTTTTTCTTTCAATATTTACCTTATCATCGTCTGATATCTAATTATTGTTATATTAACATTTAATTGGAATTTAACTGGGTACAGGTGTGGAGGAATAATTTCATGGGTGTGTAGCTCTATATAAGTATAAGCTAGTTGATGGCATAAATACCTAACTCATTAGTGTGTTGGGAATAAGAAGATGTACAGTGTAAACTATGGAGGTGACGGCTGTATATTGTCTCTGCATGAATTTTTACTTGATCAAATCAAGGTTCAGGTCTGCCATAAATTAAATTAAAACAAAAGGACCCAAAAGGAGAGAAAAATATTTGACATTGAATATGGCGTGCCAGCTAGAATTCAGATGTGTTCATTGCGAATGTAAATGCAGGGCTTTCGTAATCATTAGTCCGATTTAGTGACATGAAACTTTAAAGGAAATGGTGAGAGATTCATTTAAAATTATTTCTGCTCTTGACAAAATTTCCTCTATGATGTGCACCCTATACTTATGTCATTTCCACCATTACCCCCCACCCCCCCAATCACCACACCCTCTCCCCCTCCCACACACACACACAGATGCTGCACTTCCTATATTTTAAATACCGGTACAACTTAATTTGTCACACACACAAAAATAGTATAAAAAAAAGAGATGAAAATTTGAAAATAAAAATTGTTTGGTAAAATGAGGGAACATGGGAAGCTTTTTTACTTTGTTTTAAATAACTGCTTCAAATTATAATATTTTAAAAAATGTCAAATTAAAAATAATAAATACCCACCCTTTGCATAAATAATTAATAAATTAAAAACAATTCTCTCTCCCCCCCGACTTTCAGTATTTTTTAGGTTTTTAAATTATTCTTGCACATGTCATTCATCAAAATACAGTTGAATTTTTTTTTTTAATAAAGAAATGTAAAAACTTTGTATGTCTGTGACTTCACAACTACATCATGCGGCAAACACCATTTTTTTTTTTTTTTTTCTGCATGAACAAAAGACAAACACATTGAAGGCCATATCTCAATCTTCCCTGGTTCTTCCATGTTTTCCATATAATACATAGGAGATCTCATAAACTCTTTGAATAGCAGAATAACATGAAGAGAGGGAAAGGAAGAAGGGTGCGTTGACTGAAGAGAGGGTCCGAAAATTTTTTGAAAAGCATGTGAAGGGTTAAAAAAAAAAAAAAANTCCGTGTTCTATTTGTGAATCATGGAAGGAAAGTTGCTTGTTTTTTTTTAATGTTATTTTACCGTCTTGTTTTAGAAGCTGTTCGTGGAGGTAAGGCTGGGGGGGGGGGGGGGAAAAAATTTTCCCGTTTTTTGGGGATATCTTTTTTTTTTTTGGTTTGGTTTTTTTTTTTTTTTTTTTTTTTTTTTTTTATTTTTTTTTGTGTTTTTTTTTTTTATTTTTTTTTTTTTTTTTTTTTTTTTTTTCTTTTTACCTTTTTTGCATGCATTTGTCGTAAAGTATTTTTTTTTTTTTTTAATTTTGTTACTTAATAATATCAGTTTTGTAACTTATTAAAAAAATCTTTAATAGAATTGTAATGAAAACTAAGATATAACATTAAACTGACTAACCAGGTAATACTATTAAATTCATAATAGTTTTGCCCATGTGAATATTATGATTTAAAATTATTTTTACAATTTTTTACATTTTTTTTAATAACTCTGATAATAATAAGCATGGGCAATGGAAACCAACATTTTAAAGGGGAGGCTGAAAAGGGGCGGGGGGGATCTATCGGATAATGTTTAAATATCCACATAACCAATGTGTAAAAAAAACAACTCTTCAAGCAGATGGTGTGATGAGTCCAGCAGTTAGGGGTTACTTGTGTTGATGTTGTGGTAGGTTCCTTGCTTCACAAGGTTAGAGGTCAGGGGTCACAGTGCTGCTTCACTGATGACCCCCTAGGAGCTTTGGCCCATTTTAATCCATAATCACCTCATCCGATTATTCCAGATTACATACCCAGTTTGTTTTTATTATTATAATCCTCCAGATAATTATTACTGCACTTAACAAATGTATATATACACACCAACATTTTCCCCCTGTTCATCTGCCACATCAGTATATCATCATATAGAGAGACTTTTTCAAGCATTCATTCACTAACCTTTTAGCCCAAGAAATCATTTTCTTGTACTCTTGTTTTCTTTGGTGCCCCCCCCCCCCCGGGAGGTAACTCAATCCCACTCTTGTAAACCTAACATGTTGGTCTTGCCATATTTATAGTAATTGCTTGCAATAATTACACGGCATGATTGCTTCTGTTAACAGAAATTTGTGCTGAGTATTAGAATTTTTAAAAATTTCCATTAGTTTTTTTAAGCTATCACCTTGTGAATTACTCAAGATCTAAACATCGGCAAGAGCTGATGCTGGTAGGATCCTATCAGTTTGGGGAGTAATGTCAGTTTTATTTAAATTGCTCTTTTAATTGCTAAATATTTTTTTAAGACTCAAAGCTATGCACACACAAAAAGAAACTTAATTTAAAACTTGATTCATTAACTATTAATGCAATTTTTTTAAAATTAACTTCTAATAATTTATGTTATTTTCTTTTCAAAGTCCAATCCATGTTAATATCTAATGAGATGTTAATAAATATAATGTTTAGACTTGACCTAGTCTAGTGATATTCATGATATCATAATTAAGCTGTAGCAAATCAGGAACAGCTTTGGAATAGTGAGAGAAGAAAACACTTGCCAGAATGCTTCGTGTGGCAGCAGTGGCGTAACTAAGAGCAAGTCAAACATTGGGTCCCCAACTGAATTTGTCAAATATAGCCTAGATAGGTCCATGCATTGCCACACCCCTCCTAACCCACCCCTACCGGAGTTGGGGGCATTTCCAGCCGCCCGCCCGCCGCCCCCCCCCCCATCCCAACTCCAATAACCCCTCTGCATGACACCTCCAGCTTTGTGCTGTACTGCAGTGCTTCCCACAAACATTGGGTCCCCAACTGAATTTGTCAAATATAGCCTAGATAGGTCCATGCATTGCCACACCCCTCCTAACCCACCACTACCGGAGTTGGGGGCATTTCCAGCCACCCGCCCGCCGCCCCCCCCCCCATCCCAACTCCAATAACCCCTCTGCATGACACCTCCAGCTTTGTGCTGTACTGCAGTGCTTCCCATTAAAAGTGTCATAAAAAGAGCAATAATCTATAAGCTGGGCACAGGGAAAGTTTGAGAAGCACTGTCCTAATGTCTATAAGATAACAGTGCACATTTCTTAACCATCAAGTCAATAACAACAGTAGTGTATACTTGCATTGTTTTGAATGTGTTTTTCACAATTAAAATTTTTGCAGGCAGAAGTGGGGGGGGGGGTGGGGGTGTCGTGTTTTTTTTTGATAATTTAAAAAAAATAATTTAATACCTGATTTAGCAAGATTTAATTTTTCCTAGGAAAAACGGTTTTAAGTAAGCATAATGATGCATTTAAAAGTGGTTTTTGATGTTCCTTTTTGTTACTGTCAGATTGTAATCGGTTATTTTTTTCTGACATTTTTTCAGATGGGGAACTAGAATGGGACCCTGGCCTCAGGGGAAGTTTAAGAAAAACTAAAGCCCCAATCCATGGTTATCAAGGTAATTACTGGTCAATAAGGGCCATTGTACACTTGTTGTTGTAGTTTCTCTGTAGATGATATATTTTGAACATGGGTTTGCACCATAAGTAGGATACATGTAAATATATATTATGTTAATATAATTTATACTTATTTATATGTTTTTTTTTTTTTTTTTTTTTTTTTCCGATGAAGGCATTTGCCGAAATATTTGTATTTTTTTTTTTTTTTTTTTTTTTTTACCGATGAAGGCATTTGCCGAAACGTTTACTTTTGTATTTTGTAAAATCGTCATTGAAGCTGAACGTATATTATTTTATTTGCCCAAATTGTTTGTGTCTAATTAATCTACTTTGAAAATGAAATGTGAAGAATGGCACCACAAGAGGCTATTAAGAGTATGACCAGTGGCTTTGATTACTACCCAAATCTGAGCCATGGGTTTGAAAGTTGTGTTATCTTGATTTCTTCTCAAATAAACCCACATGATGAGTTGCCGGTAATCTGATTAAAATTTCACATTCC